AAACATCCATGGCTTGAGTGGGATTCGAACCCACGGTCCCAGCGACCAAGCGGCACAAGGCCCACACCTCAGACCGCGCGGCCACTGCGGACCCCATAATGATAACACGCTAAGTAAACTAACAGCGAAGAAACTGTTAGTTCTAATGTGGTTCCAACACAACAATGCTTCAAACAAGTAAATATAACATGCTACAAATATCTCGTCGTTTAAGAACTGTTTGCTTCATTTAATTCCAAAACAAGCGTGTTAACAGCAGACGGATATTTAGGTAGAACAGTACCTGTAACTCCATGTTTGGTATTTTCAATTGCGTGATTTGCATAGAGTGTTTAAAAAATAAATGCCGGTATGTTAATTACAACTGAAAATCGTCAGCATCTTGTGTGAGACTCATCGCCCTGATGATGAACGCAGTAAACACATCTGAAACATCGATAAACTTCTACTAGACTGTATAGAGCAACGATCCAGAAGACACCCATTTTCGTTGACGTTTCGGAAGTGTTCACCCCTTGTAACAACACAAATTAATCGCAGTAGCAAGTGCCACGTCATCGCGATATGCTCGTGTTTCGAAACTGCGATGTCCCAAGTTCTTCTACCCATTAAGTTATGGCTCGAAATCAGAGTGCTCTAGAAACAATTCATAGCCGAAAAGAGGTCTCTTACTCAAACATGCAAATAACACTCGACGTTTTGAAACTATTGTTCCTCAGGTCTATATACAATAATTTTAGGAGAAAAAAAACACGTGACCTAGGGCTCGCCGATTCGGAGCTATGACGACGCAAATTTCCCCTTTTGAGGCACTGAAACCAGCCCCAACACTGAAAACTTACAACCGGAGTGGCGGTGTGGCTGTCTTACCAGAGGCCACGCAGCATAAACAATTCAACAACTCATCAAGAGAGCAATCAGAATCACTTCCAGTTGGTTCTTGATGGTGTATTTATTTTTAACTTGCATCAACATTCCCTGAGCCTGTTCAGGCTGGCTAACAAATAAAGCAACTGTGTTCCCTCTAATTTAGTGATAGGTCTACATTGCAGCGTTCTGTATACAGCATAATGATTAAATACTAATTTCACGGAAAGATGAACATCAACAAAGATGCTTGGTACTAATTCTTCTGTCATCAACTTCTCAATATCTTGGTGTACCTAAGAAACAGCATCTGTAAAATATTTTTAAAATTACTTTTTTCCAGTGACACTTTCTATTTTCTTGTCCATGAAATTAGTCTGCGGCACACTGCAAGGTCTGGGGGTCGCAGGATGTATATCAGTGGCCTTGTCTGTCCCAGCGTGACTCTCAAGGTTGAATGCCATTGCCACGTCCCCAATAGATTTACAGCAAAATTTCTAGCTTTAAAATTCACAAACCACTGGCTTCAAACACTAACAACAACAACCGGTAAGCACACAACAGTACAACTCCCATCTATTTGTCATTACATTATTACAAACACAGGAACGCATTCCTTACAAATCCCGTTCCAGCGTCACAATGAAATACCTGGGGTTCTGTAAGAGGTTGTACATTCGGTCATTCTCATGTGCTGTGTCAACAGCTGAGTTTATGCAGCCTCGGAAGAAATATGGTAAGATGCCTGAGAATAATTTGCGGGGTAGGAGGAGGAGGTCGTAGCCTATTCAGATCTATTAACCCGTTTCCCAGGTTTGTATTCCGGAGGAACCCGGTACAAGTGTGATTGAAAGCACCAACTACTCTCATATCTTCCAGGTAAATGCCCTGACCGTACCCTGTAACAGGACACGACAGTTTCCTTCCCAGTCCTTGCCACTTCCCCGAAAACAATTATCCTCTTGCCACAAAGTAAAATAAAACATATTTCAAAGTAAACGACATATACTATACAAAATAATACAAAAAATTTTAAACTCTGTAGCAGTCCATATTTCAAAGTAAACGACATATACTACACAAAATAATACAAAAATTTTAAACTCTGTAGCAGTGTTAAAAATAACCTGTGAGAAATGTCATAAAATGAACCTGACAAGTGCGTAGGCCTCTGCTGATGTTCCGATGTTCGAAACATTCTCAAAATATTTACTGGATTGTTAAATTACAATTTTGTTTCTAATTTTAGTTTCGTGTTATTTTTAGTTTTATCTGTAGACTACTTTTATACGAACTTCTTTACTGGCCTGTGGAAGAATTTCTGCACAAGTGCGTATTACTAATTTGACCTTTTGATTAACAGACTGACATGGATAATCTCATCATAATGCGTGTAGAAGTATCTTGTTTCAGAAGCCTCTCACTGGTCGTCACAGAACAGGTTACACGCGATCCATACACGGAGCGAAATCATAGCAGTCCACTTGTTTTCTCATTCATATTAATTAGCTTCCGCTTCGCGATGACAAATTTAATTAAGCACGTACTTCACAGTTTATTTCTTCATAAATCCTTCCAGATTTCTCTCATGAACATTAGTTTAATGTGGGCCTATGTGGATCTGCCATTAGAACGTTGGCACCCATGGTTTCAATAGTAAAGGGCAGTTATGATGGTATCATTCTTTATTATTAATTATTAACTAATATGCTAAAGAAAAAACAGAAAATAATAGGCATACAATTAAATGGAGAATGACATTTCCTAGCAGCAGTAAACGAATGCACTAATAATTTTAGCCACACTTGCATGTGGACATGCAATGTAAGTTAAATTTTTTTGAAAGTTGCATACCACCCGTCTCTTTTAATTATGGCGTCTAGCTGTTCGCCTCAGTTCAAGGCCATCTTATGCACGCTACAGTACGTAGAAGATCTCGAACGTCCCCCGCACAATACATTCCCTCGAGTCGTCAGTAGCCTCATTCGTCACGCACTTTCGTTCAATTTAACACCGGAGCATCTACACATTTTTTGCATTTCTGGAACATCTCAGCCATTACAATCGAACTTCGATTCCCGGAAGGGGCAAAAATTTCTTCTCTCCACTGTGTGTAGACCGGGTCTTGGACACTTCTTCTAGTTCCGCGATTAAGAATGCCAGGAGCTTTAACCACACGCCCGTTACATCTTCATGACAAGGTTTTGCATTCTTGTCGTTTGTTCACTAACCCATTGATTTACTTTGCATAAAAATTCAATAACTAATAAAGAGAAACCAAAGTTGACGGAGTTCGGGGTTTCACTTCGATCAAAATACCAACGCCTGCCTCTTCCTATTCTTGGACCACCGCTGTAATTGGTTCGCTTTGTCGTAACCGCGACTGGTGGGTACTGGGTTCGGATCTCTGGTGTTGCACGCTATATCCTTCAGGTTCTGCTATTGTTCCTCAGACCTTCTAAACGAAGACCGAGATGGTACGGCCTACCCTCAGACGGGTCACCGCTCCTTTCCATAAGATCATTATCTCATCTCATAACGTCTGCAGATGGTAATCGGGAACAACTTTACAATACTTCAGACTGCATTCATGAAGTCATCTGACGCATAATTAACATTATTTACGCTTACTAAGTCTAATACAGACATAACGAAACGGTGTAACACGCTGCATTAAATTCTGATTTGGGAGATAAATGGATCTATTTGAAATGTTAGGCAAACTGTTATAACTGTGATAGTAAAGCTGAAAACTCGTGTCTGTAAATGGATTAAACATTCCAAAATAAAGTGAGACAAGCGGCCCACGACGGCAACATAGGGGCTATTTAATTTTATGTATGTTCCACTAGCAAACATGCAACGTGTTTTCAGTGTTCTCCGATCTCAAACAAGCTGAATTCGGTGAAAACGTAATTGTGAGTACTGTATAATATACTTCAGTAGATTTACAATAACCTAAACAACCCCCTAACTTGAGGGTTAATTATTTATACGTACACATAATTACTAACGACTCTCAGATCTAATACGAGCAATGTATCTTATTACAACGATGAAGAATCACGAACCACAATTTAACCCTTTGAAACAATACAATGACCTAAATATTATTTTAAAATCCAGTTCTTGCCTCATAAAAAAGCGTCCCAATTACGAATTAAATTCATTGATGATGTTTAAAAAATTAATCGCTGCTTGTTACGAGAATCATACAAACCCCTAAATACACTCTGAAGAAAAAAAGCAGAGTTATTGAATGCTGAAGTGCATGTAGAAAACTATGCTGTAAAGAGTTTACACGTTATTAACTGCATGTCATTAACGTATAAACATTAGCGATTTAAACGGTCATCAGTATGTAAATGACCTTATCTGTCAGGCTTTCATATAAAGAATTTAAGAAGTTTCCAATCCATAATTATTACCTATTCTGTATGCATATAGGCGATGAAAATGATAGGTCATATATGGGACATTTTTATTGGTTTCAATAGTTTAGACTTACACTTACGAGCATTTCAATATAATGACTGTGGTTCCTATGCTGTCAGATGCGTGCATTCGACGACGCTTGTAACGTACGCTATTGTCCAGCGAATTCAGTCAGAATACAAGTGTAACAAACCCTGCATCCATTAAACCACTTTTATTATACGTTCAAATCACTGGGAATTGCAAAAATCGGCTAGTAGCATAAATAACAATTAATATGGGGTTAAAATTACGAAAATTGCAAGAGCGTAACCTCTGTAGAGGACGTAGGTTTATAATCAGATCTGTAATCCGTTCACTCCAAAAGTGTTATTACATAAATAAGCAATGCTTTCAATACTGCAATGCTTCATTGTGGCGGTACGCAGAATCGGAGCATTTTTTTCTTTAAAAATATATACACTATCATCAACACACGTTAAAATTGACGGACATATGCTGAAAGTATCACCACCATTTTTTTTTTTTACAAAAATCACTCTGTAATGCTCAGTGACACTTCAGAATCACCGAACAGTTGTCGTTAAAAAGAAAGTACAACCTAACGCCAACACTTGGAATCAAAATTCAAGTGAAATTCATTTAGTAATAACGAAAATGTAAATTCCACTTACCACTAATCTAATAGTGAACTCTGGTGGCAAACAGTAAAAGCGCCGCTTGTGCAAAGACGATCACTACTCAAGAAAACACACTAACACACATAATCAGATTCACACCGCAACTATATCGATATATTCTCAAGAACTGAGAGAAAACTTTTGTTCGTTTCACGTCGTGATCTGTCCTTGCTTATCGTACCGGCTTTTCCCAGAAATAAATTATTGATGACAAAACGAAATTAATTTCATGTACAAAAAAATTTTAATGAAAATTCCTAGATACTTTTCATTTGTCATAGAAAATGTGTCAGGTGTTGAGGAAAAGAGGAAAGCGTTGATTACAGCTTCATATCCCACACGCGGATGTTCGTAGCTGACAAAGGAACAACAATTAAGATCACAAAATGTTTTTTCTTCGATTTTCACTTGTATGTTTCCATTTAGTCAAAAACGATTACAAATGCATTGTTAATTCATTTTAACTGGCGGCATTCTTACAGACGTTTCATACTAAAACCAATCGGGATATTTATTAAAACGGACCATGCTACATGTTATTGACACTTGTAGGCCTGTAAAATTAAATACTTCCGTTCTGTTTCCAACTTGATTTTACTTTAGAAAAATCAACAAAATCTTCTGTCAGCAAACTTTTCAAGTGGTTTAAAGCAAAAAGTATTTTAACATTAAGAATATATTTTATCACAACGCCGACACTGATAAGTAAATATTCCGAACAGTAAAATTTCCACTTTTGATTTACATAAAAATCGATATCACAACTCTACATATAAGGATCAGGAACAGATTACTAATTCAAACAAATCTCTGGATTCGTTAATGCTCCAAGACGATCTATAATGTCCAGTCACTGCTTGTTCCCTTAATGGCTCCCGAACAACAGAAGCACGCGATGCCAGAACACACGTGGACAAAATTACAAACGCAGCGCGTTCTAAGCCGCAGAACGTCCTTCTACACCGACAGCTAACCGAAGACTACAAGCACATCGCAGTTCACGTAGGTTTTTCTACGACCTGCGGCAATCCAAGCGGCCGTCCCACAACTCTAGCAGACTCCTTGTTCTCTTGTTCCCCACGTACAGTCGTTTTGAATCGTATTACAGCCCGCAATGCAATGTCCCTGTGCTCAAAGCATAGAGATGCCGAAAAAACACTTAGTTTTTACGTAATTACGACTGGTGGTGGTCGGGCGTGATATTCTTGTTTCTCATACATTCTCTCAACCTCCAAAATGCAACCGACCCACCTCAACTAGATATTTCTTATAGACGTTCTTCTGTCTGCCTATATACGTAGTTTCGCATACATTTACAAGAGCTGGAGTTGTAAAGTAACACGGCTTTAACAGCCAAACGATTTAATTAATGTCAACTATGTGTCAGGGTACTGTAGTTGTAAATATATTTTTTTTGTGCTGGGTTTGTCTCACATTGAATAAAAATTTCCTTGGATATTATCCATCGTCTAGTAAAATATAAAATATAAAACGTAAAACGACGTTTCGGAGATGGCACTCTATCTCCGAAACGTCGTTTTATATTTTATATTTTACTAAACGATGGATAATATCCAAGGAAATTTTTATTCAATGTGAGACAAACCCAGCACAAAAAAAATATATTTACAACTACAGTACCCTGAGGACGAGGACGAAGATGGTTCTCGAAGCGTTGGAGTTTTCTCCTTTAAACCACCATACACGGCTGGTAGCCTGAGAAGAATTCATTATATATTTACAACTGTTCGCGTACAACCTGATTTCCATAATAATTTCGATCATTTGTTTCTACTAATCCCTTTGTTCCATGGTGAAATATTTTATAAGTAACGAGAAACCACTTCAAGTTGTAAAGCTAATATTGCCCCCTGCCATGTCCTGAAGGCGTATAGGGAACGTGGAGGTGAAGTATTCTACATCGTAGCACTATATTAAGACAAGACGCTATCTTCAAGAACCAGTAACGACTCCGGTATCCACCGAATAGCAAGCGGGGCGACCCACGTAAACTCCGATCTATATGGGGCAGTGAAAAGAAAGAGTCTACCGAGAATCGAACCCCAGCCAACCATTCAGTCCACCAACTGAGCTATTCCGACTCTACAAACTAAGAGCAGTATTGCAGGGCGAGATGACAAGAAAGCTTGTGAGAAACAATAAATAAACACGAAATTTTGGCTGAAAAGCCTCAAACGAATAGACTTAGATGTAGATGGGGTTTATAACGACAGGGAATTTCTTGATCACTTGTTGAAAAAAAGACTTTTTACTACGAGGTCAGAAACCTTGCTGTAAAACAAAATTTAATCGGAACAATCATGAAGCATCACTTCAATAAGGAGCAAGAATGCATGAATGATCCTTCATTCGAAGACTCTTCAACAAGCTGCTACCTGTTTTGTCACAGAGTGGAATCTAAGAGTTCTTGATTCAGTAGCATAATTGGTACATTTACAGTTTCACTTGGTATTTCATTGCAACACTTCTCCACGTATTACGAAGAGTGTGGTAATTGAGATTTTTACATTTCGATAAAGTGGCTTTGACATCGTCAAATCAGGATAACTCGAAAATGGAGGCGATAATTTTCTTTGTAACTCGTTTGGTAACGACCTACGTAGAAGACTGAACGACGATATGACAAAGAAAACCACAATCCAAGTCTATACCATCGTGAAAACCTCAAATCCCGCCAGGGGAATGGCGGTTCCGGGACCCCAGTTTGAAAACCATTGTCGTTAGGTTTATCCGAAGCATCAGACTATTTCTTCCAGTTAACGAGACCTTCGACATTTCAAATTGCAATTTTAAATAAAGCCTGTTGTTAAACCTCCAGCCTATGATTAAAAATAGTTGCCTGATATCAGAAAACGCGTAGGACAGTGGAACCCTGCACATCGCTGTGAGCAACTGTCCAGCTTAATGAAGAACGTCAAATCAACATCTAGGAGTAGAGAAGCGAGTACACAATTTTGGTTGCAAGATCTTACAGGAAGGGACTGCCTGATGGATACCATGGACAAGAGAAGACAGATACATACATACATCATACATCTTTATTACATTCCATGGATCCATAAGTTAGTCAGATGACAATAGGATGTAGAATAAGTCATAACAATACAATACATGTTATACAAATACAAGTCATACTATTATATAAATGTCACAAATACAAATACAAATACAAATGAGCAGATTCATCTCCATAAAGGGTCGAGGTTGAGAATGGAAGAAACTTTGCTAACTGAGCGTCTTCGTAGAAACTTTAAATTTTAGAAAATGTTGATATGTCACACTGTAAACAACTCGTATTCAAATTTGAAAATACGCTTTGGTACTTCTAGGGAATAAAATAATTCCCAAAAACCATACTGAGCCGTGAAAGTATGAGAGGAACAAAACACAGCAATTTTAAGATGTGCTACTATTCTTACAATTATCAACGACATTTTTTTACTTGAATTGTTCAGACAGTAAAATATTTATAAGGCAAACCACAACGTATGTGTAGACACTAACTCCGTTAACCAGAGTACCGAACTAGAATAGCTCTAAACGCTTCTGCCATCTAGAGTTCGAGGTTTAAATTTCAACGTCCTTACGGACAAATGATAAACTACAGTAGAATTGCTGTTCAGCTGATGTACAGAATTAGTATTTGAAATAAAAATGCTAATATCTCGTGGTGTTGGCCCATTACGGTATTTTATAACAAAATTAAATCAACCGATTCTAGGACAAGGCACACAGTCCATCAGGAAAAGCCATGGCTCCATGTATGTAAAATTATATAAGTGAAGACGATTACGTATGTAGGTTATGGCAGACGACAATTTTGAAAAAAGAAGTTTTAAGAATATTTGGTGATTCTTTTTCAGATGGTCGTATCGACAGCCTGTGTCAAAGCACCCGAAACATATAATAATCTTGGCAGAAGTTGTTGGAGGTTATATGTGGTGGTGGATTTTTTGGCATTTTTGGCATGAATCTGGCCATGTATTCGTAAGTATTAAAATTAAACAAATCTTCCTATGGCCTAGCACATTAAATTACTATTAATTGTGAGCTTTATTACTTGTATTACTTATGTATAATAGCAGTTGCTTTGTTACTGCACCTGTTTTAAAAAACTCCCATACCAAAGGTATTACAATGTTTCCATGAAAATTTAATAAACAGGAACATAAACCTTATATGAGCTAATAGTAACCAAACAAATTAAACAGAAAAACTTCAACTAATCTACACAAAATTAAACTTCAAAAACCTATAGTAAGTCATAATCTACCATTTTCAACAAAGTGAACAAATAATAAATTCTAAAACAGGAAATCATGAATAATCAATGCATACAAGTCAGTAATGAAAATAATGTTAGAAATACAGTGGCAAGATCTAACTAAACCCAGTCATGTAATTGACTAAATATTTTAATGGATAAATGTGCATTAGAACTTACAGAACAACAATAAAAATATTTTAGATTGAGACTCTTATGACTTGTGAAATGTATCAAACTGTGAATATGATTAAAATCTAAAGACCCATTAAGATTGGGAGCTATGTCACTTTGAACACATACTGAGACTTTAATTAAGTCTCCTTGGGCTTTGAACTGCATCATAGTGGGTTGCATTCTTTCCAGAAACTTGTTATTGCTGGTTTATTTATGGATTGTCTGTTCTTATGTTTAGGGTGAAGTTGAATATCCAAATCCATCTAAATGGACAGATGAGGAGCTTGGAATTCTACCAGATGATGAAGAATAAATTTTGGCAGTTACTTTGTAGTTATTACTAATTTACATATTGTTTTTAAACCAGTTCAGCTTTTGTATAATTGTAATATATTAGATTAAATTGTTACATACAGTATGTATGTCTGGACAAATGGTTCTTCATTAAATTTCTTATAAAAGTTTCCCTAGCCCCCAAAATATACATGTACATGTTTTCCAAGTTTGTAGGATACCTCCTCCTGCCAACATTTCCTGCACTTGACACATTGTGAGTTCCAAGAGGCCTGTCATACGCAAGTGCTACTTCAGTGTACGATGGCTACTAATATTTCAAAACAGCTCTTTGATAATATGAATTATAAATAACCTACCTTTTCAATACTTACTTAAGGTCACTCAGGAGATATCTGAACCAACCAAAATCAGCAAGCTTCATGGAAATACATATTTTGTGGACACCTACAAATTTTATTCCAGGAAAGGTTTTACATAACATGGCCCATAAAGTGTATGCATGTATGTTAGCCTGGCCACATTCATTTGAACCCAGAATAAGTTAACCACTCAAAAAGCGATGAGTAACAAATATTTATTTCATACTTGTAAAAAGGCAACAGTGAGACATGAAACAAACACCATCACCAGAGAAGAGAAATTAACCAATTCACCTTTAAAAACATTAAAATAAATTTCTGTTCAATTCACAGCTGGCTGCAATAACCCAACTCTTGCATGACTGCAACCTGTTCAGATCTTGTAAGGCATCTTTATGGTCACAGACTTCACTTCAAGGTACTCCTTCAAGGAATCTTCTCCTCTGAAGTGAAATAATAAAGCAACAATTAAAACTGGTTAATCACTACAGTATCATTAATAGGTATTGTATCTATTTCCTTCAGAATTTTTGTGCATTATCTTTACTTCTGTTAACTGGTCTAGCCATGAGTTGGTATAAATTCATGGTAGCAACTTGTAAATGTGGTACTTACAACTCTCTCCCAAAACCTGACTGCTTGTAGCCACCAAATGGAACTTGTGGCACAACTGCATCATAACAGTTCACCCTGAAAACAATTAATATACATGTTTATATTCTTCTTCTTTTTCCGGTTCAACAGGGATCGGCCCGTCGCAAGGCCTCTACCTGTACACAGGACAGCACACCACAGAAAAACATCCATGGCTTGAGTGGGTCTCGAACCCACGGTCCCTGTGACCAAGCGGCACAAGACCCACACCTCAGACCGCGTGGCCACTGATGTTTATATTGGGGACTTCAGTTTTCATGCAAGCTAATGTGACCTAATTCATGTCTTAGAACCAATTATTTCCATTCTTTACTTTTAGATAAGATATATCTTCCAGTAGAAACTAGCAGGTCAAGTTTAAAGTTGCAGAGAATGTGCAATAATATTGCTTACCACACTGAGCCAGCTTTAACAGACTGAGCAAATATCAGGGCTTTATTGATGTCCCTGGTAACAATTCCAGCTGCCAGCCCATAACTAGTATCATTTGCCCGCTCTATCACTTCCTCAAGAGTTTTAAACTTGATTATACATTGCACAGGACCAAAGATCTGAAAAAAAAGGTCAAAATATCAAACACAGGATTCTGATACATGATAAGTTACCCTTAACTAACTACATGGTACAAAATCTTTCTTTAGCAGTGAGTTACCAAGCGAGTTATTCAACACATCAAGAAATTTCCTGTTATGGCACTGAAAGGATTATCAGGGTGTTCATATAAAGCCTGCCACTGAATTGTACGTCAAGTTCTGCATTCCAGTAAACTTTTTTCACAATACATTTATCTGAAATTAATTTTAATTAATAACCTATCTATGCCCCACTTAATGGTACCTGCACCTTGTCGTGGTGGTGGGGCTTGAGTACCTCAGTGACCCCAAAAGCTATGCTAGCAGTAGCATAGCTACTGGTAGGGCCTCCCTAGCCAGATTGGTCGAGGGGGAGAGGTCAGACTAAGATAGGTATCCTGGTCCTCCAGGTTGGGGGTTGGTCGCAAGGCTAACAACCTTGCACCGTAAAAAGGAAGATGGAACAAATACAGACCGGAGAGCCACAGAAGAAGAAGAACCTATCTATGTCTAGTCCCTGAACTAACATTTTTACCTAAGGTTGTACAATCAAAATACTGAATGCATTTCGTGCGTTCCCTATCCCACCCACATCACCTTTATTTATTTAACCTTTATCATATGGGTGTAACAATTTAAACCCCCAAACTAAGGGGCTGCTGACCGGAATTCTAGTGGTAAGCTGCTGTGATGCATGGCCAGTAGGATCGTGTGTAAGCAGTGACACATGATTTATAATAGTTTATCACCTTAACAATATTGGGTGTATAGCACAAACTATGAAGCTCCTCGTAACGTAATTTTTTCCATTCTCCTCTTACATGATACCCCACAAGTCCAAATGATAATTCACAGAAATTTGTTCTTAAAACAACCTCAGTAGTTAACATTGACATAGTTTGGAATGAAAACGCTACTGAACACTTCTGCTGACTTGCAACTTTTGAAACACAAGCTTTTACCTCTTCTTTGGCAATTCTCATATTGTCAGTGACATTGGAGAAGACAGTGGGTTGAATGAAATAGCCCTCTTTACCCCACCGACCACCGCCACAGTCCAATTTGGCTCCTTCAGCTTTCCCAGACTCAATTAATGACAAAACTCTGTTGAACATCTCATCGTCCACCTGAAAAACACCAAAGCATAAGAAAATCTCAGTAAAAAAATAAACACATGTTAGTATCATAATGCCCTCCCACAACAAATCATGCAGATGTGTACGTGCGCACACATTGTAAAAATGATCTGCCAAGTTACCTGTGGACCTTGCTGAATGCCATCAGCGAATGGGTCACCAACTTTCCTACTTGTCCCCTTAGCTACAGCCTTTTTCACGAACTCGTCATACACCTCTTCCTGCACAAAGGTTCTGGAGCCAGCACAGCAGTTCTGACCATGGTTGTTAAATATGGCTCCATGTGCAATTTCCACTGCTTCATCCACTAGTGGTGAAAGGGTTAGAAAATCATTAAAAGAGGTTTCCCCAAAGACTTTAACACAAAAATAATGAACACTATAGTCAAGTGGTCAGCACTTCTACTTTGCATTTAGGGGTTCTGGGTTCAAAACTTGACCCACAGACCAACTATCCTGAGGTTCCTCATGGGTTTCCTCAGTCCGAACTGCCTAATGTTGACAAAATAACTTAAATTAGACCATTAGTGCTTCCTTCCATATCCATTCTAATTCATCATTCTTCTCTAATTCAAAATCATTTAATTTATTCAAAGAAATGTTAGACAAGCTAAGAATAATTAAAATAATCATGGCACTGATGCAAGTTTTAGAATGACAGCATCAATAAGATTAGTATTATGAAATGTATGATGTAGCTCTCTGTAAAGTGTGCAAATTCTCTTAACATCTTTAGCACCTAAAACAGAAAATAACATGCTAAATATCAATTAGTATCACAATTATTTAAGTATGTAACAATCTATTTAACCAACTCATAAGACTCATATGATATAAAATAAGCAAACTATTAACACCATAAAAAAGACACTAGTGCCATATGCATTCCAACCTCAAGAGGTCATCATCAGTGGCAACAGGGAAATTAATTCATTTAAACAAAATGGTTTAGAAAACAAATAATGAATTAATTAATTTCCGTTGCCACTGACGATGACCTCTTGAGGTTGAAACGCATATGGCATCAGTGTCTTTTTTATAGAGTTAATAGTTTGTTTGTTTGCTTATTTTATATTCTAATACACTACATGGTATGCAAAGTTTTTAAAACTCATGTGATAGCTAATGAACAGGTGATCTGACTGAATGCATTTCGTGCGTTCCCTATCCCACCCACATCACCTTTATTTATTTAACCTTTATCATATGGGTGTAACAATTTAAACCCCCAAACTAAGGGGCTGCTGACCGGAATTCTAGTGGTAAGCTGCTGTGATGCATGGCCAGTAGGATCGTGTGTAAGCAGTGACACATGATTTATAATAGTTTATCACCTTAACAATATTGGGTGTATAGCACAAACTATGAAGCTCCTCGTAACGTAATTTTTTCCATTCTCCTCTTACATGATACCCCACAAGTCCAAATGATAATTCACAGAAATTTGTTCTTAAAACAACCTCAGTAGTTAACATTGACATAGTTTGGAATGAAAACGCTACTGAACACTTCTGCTGACTTGCAACTTTTGAAACACAAGCTTTTACCTCTTCTTTGGCAATTCTCATATTGTCAGTGACATTGGAGAAGACAGTGGGTTGAATGAAATAGCCCTCTTTACCCCACCGACCACCGCCACAGTCCAATTTGGCTCCTTCAGCTTTCCCAGACTCAATTAATGACAAAACTCTGTTGAACATCTCATCGTCCACCTGAAAAACACCAAAGCATAAGAAAATCTCAGTAAAAAAATAAACACATGTTAGTATCATAATGCCCTCCCACAACAAATCATGCAGATGTGTACGTGCGCACACATTGTAAAAATGATCTGCCAAGTTACCTGTGGACCTTGCTGAATGCCATCAGCGAATGGGTCACCAACTTTCCTACTTGTCCCCTTAGCTACAGCCTTTTTCACGAACTCGTCATACACCTCTTCCTGCACAAAGGTTCTGGAGCCAGCACAGCAGTTCTGACCATGGTTGTTAAATATGGCTCCATGTGCAATTTCCACTGCTTCATCCACTAGTGGTGAAAGGGTTAGAAAATCATTAAAAGAGGTTTCCCCAAAGACTTTAACACAAAAATAATGAACACTATAGTCAAGTGGTCAGCACTTCTACTTTGCATTTAGGGGTTCTGGGTTCAAAACTTGACCCACAGACCAACTATCCTGAGGTTCCTCATGGGTTTCCTCAGTCCGAACTGCCTAATGTTGACAAAATAACTTAAATTAGACCATTAGTGCTTCCTTCCATATCCATTCTAATTCATCATTCTTCTCTAATTCAAAATCATTTAATTTATTCAAAGAAATGTTAGACAAGCTAAGAATAATTAAAATAATCATGGCACTGATGCAAGTTTTAGAATGACAGCATCAATAAGATTAGTATTATGAAATGTATGATGTAGCTCTCTGTAAAGTGTGCAAATTCTCTTAACATCTTTAGCACCTAAAACAGAAAATAACATGCTAAATATCAATTAGTATCACAATTATTTAAGTATGTAACAATCTATTTAACCAACTCATAAGACTCATATGATATAAAATAAGCAAACTATTAACACCATAAAAAAGACACTAGTGCCATATGCATTCCAACCTCAAGAGGTCATCATCAGTGGCAACAGGGAAATTAATTCATTTAAACAAAATGGTTTAGAAAACAAATAATGAATTAATTAATTTCCGTTGCCACTGACGATGACCTCTTGAGGTTGAAACGCATATGGCATCAGTGTCTTTTTTATAGAGTTAATAGTTTGTTTGTTTGCTTATTTTATATTCTAATACACTACATGGTATGCAAAGTTTTTAAAACTCATGTGATAGCTAATGAACAGGTGATCTGTGCTCAGGTAGTCAAGAAATTTCTTGTCTTTTATGGAACCCATAACTCATAACGATGATCACATTAATTTATCATAACAAGAATGGTAACTCAGACATGGGCATAGATACTATAGCATGAGGAAGCCTTGATGTGACAAATCCCCAAAGCTCAGAGCCCCATTCCACCTCCAGGTAGCATAAATTTAATTGTATATTATTAATTTTGTCAACCCACTGCCTTAATCTTTGAAACAACTGGAAGCTGATTGACCAATACAAGGAGAAACTCAGTGGTGTCCAACCCCAGCAAAGGCAAAGCTACGGACTGTAAAACCTTTGGGGAGGGGAGAAATGCTTGCATGAGAAATAAACCTGGAGGCAAACAACTTGGAGCAGCATGTAAAGGGGACTCAGCCCCAGGGAGCAAGAATGCTGAGGAAATCCCATCTCTGTTAAGCTGCAGGAATGTCAATTCCAGTTTGAAGCTATACTGAGGTTTTCCCAAATGTTTCAGGATCAGAGGTGGTTTAGCCCCAATAATTGCCAAACCCATGGCAGGCAATAATTGTGGCCTATTAATTTTTTTTATTCAAGATAAAAAAATCAATACTGAATGCACAAGTACTAGAGGTCTTGGGGTCAAACAACTTGTCCTTATTCTGAAACACACACAGAGGAATAGGTGATACAAAGCATATTTAAAATGAAGACACTAATTGTATACAAACCATCTGCATCAGAACATATAACCAAAGGGCTTTTTCCTCCTAACTCCAGTGAGACTCGTTTCAAGTTAGAATTTGCTGCAGCTGCCAAGATCAGCCGTCCAACCTGAAAAATACCAGCAATCATAAGAGATGGTATAAGAAGGTTGGAGTACAAAAGTACAGACAAGGATATGGACCTCTAGTATTAATGGAGCCACATACACCGGCATTTTGTAAATCATGAAATACAAAAAATCAACTTACATATAAGCAGTAATCATGATGACAATGTTCTTAATAACTATACGAGGTGCGATCGGAAAGTTTCCAGACTGCGACTATAAAAACCCGTACACTTATCTCAGGTATTAAATTCATCCATCACCCTCGAAGTAGTTCCCCTGGGAGT